TGATCCGTTACTTATCAGTTTTTATGAGTATAATCACCTAATTTTATATAGTCACAGCACTCTACTAAAAATTTCCGTCCATATGTAATTCAGGCCAGTGACAGAAAACTCTGAATCAGATATCGAATCATTAGTGACCGGACTCATCAACTTGTGACTCGAATAATTTGAGTTTATCACGATTGGAATCATACATGATGAATGTATTTGCGAGTCCGCAGTTGTCTGCTTTTTCGTGATTCGAATAATTCGAATAAATTGATATCAATCACATGATTCGATTATTCTTCTGAGCTTAATTTCGTGAATCACGAGTTTATGCGAGTCTAGTCTCTAGGATCACTAATTCTGAAACTCTGATATATACTTAGATTCACGTGGAAAAATTAAGATCCAAATTTTCTCGCGTTATTTACAAGTTTGATTTTATATAGTTTATTTTTTATTGCTATAAATTAGAAGTCTTATTTCTCATCTTAAAAAGTAGAATCCTTTCTTTGATGATAGTTTAGAACTCTTTATAAACAGTGTCAAAAAAAATTTCAATCTCACTATGTGTACAAGAAATTTCTTTAAGTAACTGTGCCATTTAAACATTATCATAAAACCATAATTAAGCATCTAAAAAAAATATTATATGATGCTAATGAAGTAGAAAGATCCGATTCCGCCATTCTCATATTGACTAGCAAAATTTTAGCGTCGAGTAAAAGGTGCTTATGAAAGGTTCGTGTAAAAATTAAATGAAAAGCATCTCAACCCTCTTTATGTATTTAGTAATACTGTATAAAAAATCAAATATAATGAGTTATTTTAAATTAATTTTTTTTTTTTATAGTTCGCCGCTGCTGCCGCGATCCCAATTTAACGGCTCTAGTATTGAAAAACTAAATGAAGGCAAACTCGAGGAATGGCTTCGATCCACCGCCACTCTATCTTTTTCTCACGTCAAAAAAAAAAGAGTAAGCGACAAGTAAGTATCATGCTAATGATTTGTTTTTTCGAACAGTTAGGGTATTGTGCAAAACCTCTCTTCAATTTTTAAATTTTGCATCCAATTTGATTGAATTTCAAATTACCCACTAGTAATGTTTTAAACGAATTCGAAATATTTCAACAATGGTATGGAGTCTTGTTTGAAGTTTATCTAATGAAAATGTATACGGGAGCAGATTGCTTTGTTATAAATGAGTTAATACTTTTTACCTTAAAACAGAACGTACAAATCACTGCGGTTTGAGCAATTCTTTAGATAAATTAGATAATAAATTGCTTAAGATATTAATGCAACAAGTTGTTGAGAAAACTGGTAAAAATCCATGGAATCAACATTGTTTAGAGATGTGATGTTTTTTCTTTGTTTTTTTTAGCATTATACTAAATAAGTATTCGACAGGAAACCATATGACGTTCTACTTAACAACACTATTATATGAGGCGTTGTATGTGATGGCAGAAGTTGGTCAAATTGTTGTGCCTATGGCCATTCTATATACAAAAGAATCAAACACCACGGCCTTCTAATACAAATATATCATTTAGATCAAGTTCTAATAATTAAAGTACAACCACAACAAAAGCAGGCACTGCTCGCACTCCATTTCCGGTAATGAGTTGGGCCTCATTCATTGATGAAGTTCGATTGCATCAATTTATTTAAATACATAAATAGCTCTTCATACCTACTAAATCAAGCGAACATCCCATTAAATATTCTATTACTTACAAGCAATTTCGCATTCATGGCCTTCGAAATTTTATTAAGGTGATCAATTTGAAAAAAATAAACTGGCCTGCTTATATATTTAAACATTAATTTCTCTTTTTTTGTTATAGCTAAATATTTAGCATTACTATCAAAACCGTGTATGCTTCTATGACGAACGATCTTATCAACCCACTGATTTCTTGTCTGCTCTGAGATTTATTACCAGAAATACATGCATCATTAAATAATTGGATCATTTTCGCTACCTTGCACAGGTTTATATTCAATTCATCCACATGGACAAGGTATCTTGGGCTTGTTCATACTTTTTCTTCTACACGTAATTTAGACAATATACGAGAATATGTTCAAAAAATTGGTACAAGTATCTAAGCGGTAACTAAATGCCACCTTAACAAATTTGAACATGGATTACAGGTAAATTTGTATTTGTCAATACGTTAACATGATAGGAATGCATTAAAATGTTGATGTGCTAGTGATCACGGCCTTTGTCTTATTAAAATTATTGGAAAGCAATTCATTGTCAATTAATAAGGTGGAAATTTTGCTTATACAGATCCAAATATCTTAACGAACCATCCAATTATGAACGCGAAAACTTCAGATATCTATACGTATGAATTGCTATTATAATTTAAACCAAAATTGTATTTTTAATACACTAACAAGAGTTTCACTACTAAAGAGCTAGGAGTTTAGGTTGATTAAGGATCGAATACTTAATAGAAATATAGGATATTGATATGCAAGGTATTATTTAATAAATATATCAATATATTTTTAATTAATTTGTTATATGGGGTCTTTGCCTTGAAAATGACCTTACGGTATCATGTACCGTAAGGTCATTTTCAAGGCAAAGACCC